AGAAAGACCTGGTGATATGCACCCATGAAGATTACAGCCTAGAAAACCCTATGGGGCAGTTCTACTCTGTCACACTGGGTCTCTGTAAGTTGAAGATCGACTCAACAGCACCTAACAACAGCACCATGTATAAATAATTAGTTTTATCAAATACAAGTCAGGGAACAACCCTTTTCTGTGCCATCGAGTAGTGGTTTCCAAACTTTTTAAAGCCACCGCTCCTCTCCCGCACAGCCCTACCCAAGTAATTTAAAAAGAATGAGCTTCAGTGTTGAAAGAAAGAAAAAAGGGAAGAAAGGAAGGGGTTATCTTAGCTTGCCTTGTTTGTTTCAGACTCTAGAAATGTATTTAGTGGAAAGCCTAGGAAGACTGTAAATGAATTTCCAGGGTTTTAAATGCCATTGAACTGAGTTACCATGAGCTAAATCTAAATCAAAACCAAACCAAACCCATTGCTGTCGAGTCAATTACGACTCATCCTGACCCCGTAGGACAGAGTAGCACTGCCCCATAGGGTTTCCAAGGCTGTAAATCTTTACAGAAAGCAGTCTGCCACTTCTTTCCCCCACAGAGCAGCTGGTGGGTTCAAGCTACTGACCTTTTGATTGGCAGCTAAACACTTAACCACTGCACCACCAGGGCTCCTACCATTAGCTAAAGGAATCCAAATTTATTGATCTAAATGTATTGGGTTTAGCTGAATTTAGTTCTTTGGGCTGCTGGAAGCAATGAGGTGACTAATGATAAAACCACTTCCACCTGGCATCCAGCTCCAGGGTGCCTCTTTGAGAAGATAGCTCAAGTGTTCACCACATTTTGGCCCTTACCCTAATCTGTGCATGATTCTCTAGTTTCTCGAACTCTTGGTACAACTTTGGTTCAGGCAAAGGCCAGAGCCACTTGGTTGGGGAATAGTAAGCCTGAGGTCTGGGAGAACATTTGAAAATCAGGGAGACTGCCTGGCTCCAGTTCTCTGTATCTTGAGTGGTGTCCCAGCTCAGTCTAAACACACCCATCTGTTTGGAGCTGCTTTAATGGGTTTGTCCTGTGGATGTTGTGTGGACACTGAAGCCCTGTGCAGTCACTCAGAAGGGAATCTATCAGAGCCACTGGGAATTTGGCCAGTTGGGATGAGTGGAGGAACCTAAGGTCTTCATATGGAGTCCTGGGGAAATGAGCTGAGAAAATAGAGATAAGAGTAATGTTAGGGGTTAGAAAGAAGAAGAAACAAGACCCTTAGAGCCCCTTGGAGCCAGCACAAACCCTGTGACTTCTACCTGGAGAAATGTTCTGTGATGTTAAGAATCAGTACCTGAAGGTCATTCACCCAGCAGATATTTATTGAGTATCCGTTACCGAATGACAGGCGCTGGCGTGCATACTGGGAGTCCTTGGTGATTTGGAAAGGTTGGTGGTTCGAATCCACCCAGAGGCACCTCAGAAGAAAGACCTGGTGATCTCCTTCTGAAAGGTCACAGCCATTGAAAACCCGATAGAGCTCAGTTCTACTCTGAAACACATGGGTCACCATAATTCAGAATCAGCTTGATGGCAGCTGTTTTGGATTTTTGTGGGGAGTACGTTCTGAGGAAATCGTGCTAGAAAAAGGATGAGTGGTGGCCAGGCAGCAGGTGTAGGGAGGGCATACTTTAGAAGGTAAAAGCTTTATTCATGGAAAGATGCTATGAGGAAGAGATGTGTAACCTTAACATCTGGAAAAATGAAAGCGGCCAGCCACATAAACAGCAGAGGAAAGGGGTTCCAGCCAGAGGGGAAGCAGCAGTAAAGATTCTGAGATGGGGCCAGCCAGAGGGAGCCAGGGGCTAAAGCACTGGACGCAGGGGGCAGGGTGAATGCATGACAGCGGAGAGGCAGGCCGCAGTCACAGTAAAGAGCCTGGATTTTTTTCTAACCATGTTGGGAAGCTCTGCAGAAAATTAGTTGGAAAAAGACATAAATGGAAGCAGACATCTTTGTAGAAAGGCTAGAGACTGATGACTTGGACTAGAGTTGTGGCATTAGCAATGGAGAGAAGTAAACAGATTTGAAATTGACTTTAGATTTTGCTAGAAGGGTTCAGAGGTCACTGCAGCCCTTTTATCATCCTCCCACCGCCCCCAGTTTGTTGAAATGCAGTGCAAAAAGAAATCTCTAAAGCTGACATATCAAACCTATGTTGCATATAATGGTGCTTTACGATAAATATGTTATCTAGGGGTTGAGGCTGAAAAATCATTGTTTTATGATACCAGTTTTTTCACTTGATGACCAAAGATTTCTTCTTTTATTTAATTGACAAAACAGCAGTTGTTCCACACCACACCTAACTACCCTGTTTTACTCCAGAGACAGATGAAATAATAGCATATTTTAAAAGATTATGTTATACCCAAAGGTCCCAAATATCATTATGTTTATGTAACTGGACATTTTGGGTTGTTAGAATACTTTGTAATTTAATATTCTCTCTATTTTGACTTCTCTTTCTGCTTCTCTTTCCCTCCCTCTCCAGATGAAGTGATAACATCTCATGGTGCGATTGAGCCAGATAAAGACAATGTACGTCAAGAACCATATTCTTTGCCACAGGGTTTTATGTGGGACACTTTAGATTTGAGCAGCACTGAAGTGGTGAGCCAAACTCTGTAATCCAACACCCGTGTTCACATGAATTGCTTCTGAGTTGGTTCTGAGCACCATAAATAGGACACCTGTTTTATCTTGTAGCTCAAGGAGTTGTACACATTGTTAAATGAGAATTACGTAGAAGATGATGACAATATGTTCCGGTTCGACTATTCGCCCGAGTTCCTGTTGTGGTAAGCCTCAGCTTGGCGTGATGCCGTGGATGGTGGTGGTTGGATTGGGATGGCTCATGTCCGTTGCTGTGTTCGTGGACACTAACTGGCTTGTGTTTCTCTCATCTGCACTGACTGCAGGGCTCTGCGTCCCCCAGGCTGGCTCCCTCAGTGGCACTGTGGAGTCAGAGTATCTTCAAATAAAAAACTCGTAGGGTTCATAAGTGCTATCCCTGCAAACATTCGGATTTATGACAGGTATGTATTAAAGCTGGTCAGTTTTTGTGTGTTTCTTTTCCTTCTTCTCTCTCCTTCTTCCATCATCTTGCCAGCAGGACTTCCTTAGGAAAGTGCAAGAACACAGGTCAAACCAGAGCAAGAAGGCACAGGGCCACTTGACTTGCCTTGGTGATGTATGGGGACTGTTAGAAGTGAGTTCTGCATATATGAGCATCCAGCCCTCTTTGGCCGTACCTCATAGGGCTGCCTGCCCGGCTGTTCATGGGTCAGCAGCACTATTTCACCAGTGTGGCAGTTGAAGAAGATGTGAACCTTTTTTAAAAAATTGTAATTGTAATGGGCTTTTAAGGATTACTTAAAAAATTTTAGGAGGGATAAAAATGTTCTATCCCTAGGATAAGCTTGTTGCATTGTTGCTCTGGGTCTCCAGTCCTAAAAGTCAAAGATCTAGCAAAATAGGTCTGTTTGCCTGCAAGTATATTAGCTTAGCTTATTTATTGCTAAACACATTTGATCTCAAGGAATATTGTGTTTCAGACACAGTGGATCTTCTAAGTACTCTCCCAGGAATGAAATTAATTACTGAAATATGCAAGAGAAATGCCCGCATACCTGGAACCAGAGCAGGGAGCTGGCTTTGAAGCTCCAGAAGGCTTATTCTAGCTAAAAAAACTGGCACTGCACAGGGATCCTGTGGATTTGTATCATACTTCAAAACAACATCCTATCAGATTCTGGAGCACACATGACCCAGTTATTGCCATAATTGTATACAGTACAGGAAAAACAGATACAGAAACTTTAAGAGATATCTGGCCCATTTTCTAAGCTGGAAACTTATAAAAGGCCAGCGTCCTAAAATGTATTTAGAACAAGGTTTGAGTCTCCGTGGCCTAGAGTTGCAATTATTTTGTTCTACTGTGTAACACATGGGATCGCCATGAGTCTGAATGAACTTGATGGCAACTGGTTTGAGCCACTGGGTGGGGCAGACAGTTAAGTGCTCAGCTATTAACTGAAAGGTTGTGGTTCACACCCACCCAGAGGTGCCTCAGAAGAAAGGCCTGGCAATCTACGTCCAAAAGGTTGCAGCCTTGAAAACTCTATGGAGCACGGTTCTATTCTGACACACATGAGGTCACTGTGAGTTGGAATCAACCTGACAACAACTGGTGGTGGTGGTGGAATGGGGAATAATGTATTAATCTGAATTTGTACGATGTCTAAATGATAGAATATTTTTCTTAAAGATTGTCATAAAGGAGGCCTTTTTCATTTTTTGACTGTTGGGAATTTTACGGGTATTAAAAAGTATTTTTGTCTTATGTTTGCTCTCATTTTTACAATTTTATTTCTTAGTGTGAAGAAGATGGTAGAAATCAACTTTCTTTGCGTTCACAAGAAATTGAGATCAAAACGGGTAGCCCCAGTGTTAATTCGAGAAATAACCAGAAGAGTGAACCTGGAAGGGATTTTTCAGGCTGTTTATACCGCTGGGGTTGTGCTTCCCAAGCCAGTGGCCACGTGCAGGTAATAGCACCTTATTCTTACCTTGCATCTTACATACACCAGGCGTGCTGATCCTCACCACCGTTTTGCTGGAAGTATTACTCTCCTCATATGTAACCAAGAAAAGGAAGGCTCAGGGATTTTGACTTGCTGGTGATGACATGGTTTGTTGATAGCAGATATGGAGACTAGAATTTAGAGTTACTGAATCCAGTACCGTTTCCAGTATATCCCATACCACACTACTGCTTGATGATAAAAAAAAAAAGTTAACATTTTCCTGCTAATGGTGCTGTATCTGTATTTCTGTTTCTGTTCTAGTTGAAAGACTAGTACTGATACCATGGAGAAACCCAGGGCATTGTGATCTTGAAATATCAAATGTTAGTATTATTTCCTTTTCACCCGTACCACTCGTTCTATACCATGCTTTGCAGCACTGTCGGGACTATTCCAAAAGCTTGGTAAACATCATTTGGAAGGCCCCAGACATACATGTTTGCTAAGAGTAAGAAGAAGGCCTGAACTCTGTTTTTGTGACTTCATCTGCCCTCATCAAGCTTTCAAAAGTTACTCCAGTGAGAAAATTTGTTTATCAGAATGTCACTTGACTAACTTGTTTCTAAAGCATCAGAAAGAGTTTATCTCCCTCTCCTGTTTTTATTGACTCAAATTAAGATAAAACTTTAAGTAAAGATAGTAGAAAAGGTAAAATTACTATAGAATATTAAATTAGTACATTCATAAATAAGCAGAATGAAAGATTTCAAAGGTGCATTTGTAATAGCTATTTTAATAATAGAGCATCCCAGCACTTAAACTGGTATCACTTGAAAAATTCAAGCTCATTTCTCAAAAAGTTGTTTTCTTTGGTGTGCATTATATAGAAGTGAAGGCTAGTAATGGAGAAGTATTTTCATGTTTTTAAACTTCATGACTTGCCTTTCTTAGAATCAGTGATGGGAATTAAATACTTACAAACCAGCCATTATTAGTATTTCTTTTGCAGTTTGAAGATTTCTCTTTATTCAAAGAGAATAAAGGTCATAAGCTCTAAGGGTCCATAACTAGCAATGTAGGACATATTATAGAGGTTAAAAAAAAGACTGATAAAATTGTTGCCTAGGAAGAGGGCTAGTGCTCAGCGTTCATGTTCAGTAAATGCTTATTTAGCAGCTCAGCTGAGACAAAGAGTGAAACCTTATAGAGTTAGAAATCAATTAGATTTTAAAACCTTTATTGTGTTCCAGATACTGGCATCGATCACTAAACCCCAGAAAACTGGTAGAAGTGAAATTTTCTCACTTGAGTCGAAATATGACTTTACAGAGAACAATGAAGCTGTACAGACTTCCAGATGTAAGTAAGAATGATTTGCAGTTTTTCGAAGCTGTGACAACTGAAGCTTTTAATGCAGAAGAGAATGATTTGCAGGTCTACAAACTGGTTCATGTAGCTGAAGAAAGTGAATATGTAGCTAGAACTAAGGGGCTAGGAAAAGCAGGGGAGCTCAGTTAGAAATATCAGGCTTTTCTTTCTTTTTTTTTTTTTTAAGGCTTTTTAGATTGTTTGGTTTGTAGTTGAATGGGCTTGAACTCAGGACATGTAAGTTTTAAAATTCTGAATATTCTATTCTGTCAAGTAAGAGTTAAGAAATGTTCAGGCTTCCGATGATATCAGCATAATGGAACTAAGGTGTAAAGTTTAGACGAAAGACCCGGGGAGAAGAAATAATGTTTCATTAAATTATCATACTTTTAAACTACCAGATACTCAGAGTGAAAAGTTGTTTGTCTTAAAAGGAAAAATTTAAATATGCTTGCCAATATTGACTTTATTTGGGATTTGGATGGTGTTTTAGTTATCTATTGTTACATAACAAGTTACCACAAACTTAGCAGCTTAAAAGAACACATATTCATTATCTCATAGGTTCTTTGGGTCAGAAATCCAGGCATAGCTTAGCTGAGTCTTCTACCTCAGGGTCTCTCATGAAGCTGCCATCAAGTTGTCAGCCAGAGCTGGGGTCTCATCTGAAAACTTGACTGGGAAGGATCCACTTGCAGGCTCATGTGGTTGTTGACAAGATTCAGTTCCTTGCTGTCGGCCAGAGGCCACCTTCAGTCCTTGTGACATGGACTCTTCCATAGGGCAGCTCACAGCATGACAGCCTTTTCATTAAAGGCAGCAAGAAAGAATCTAGAGAAAAAGTGCTAACAAGATGAAAGTCAGAAACCTGTGTAATCTATTTATGGACATGATACCCAGTCACTGTTGGTGTATTTTTTTTGGTTAGAAGCAAGTCACAGGTCCCATTCACACTCAAAAGGAGCAGATTGCACAAGGACATGAATACCACAAGAATGGGGGTCATCGGGGCCCTCGTAGAGTCTTTACCACAGATGGGATCTTCTGTTTGAGGTTTCAGTTTTGTCAGAGTTATTCTTTCTTTTGGGTTATTGCAAAATAATTCAGTAAATATTTTAACTTGATTGAGAGATTCATAGGGAATGTAGCCATGTTCCTGTAGAACACTGTGAAGACTTCACTTGTAGTAGCCTTTCTAGGTACAGTATACTGTGGTTCCTTTTGTCTTTTGGCCAGTGTTGTGTTTACCAGATAGATGTAATTAGTAGCTGTAAAAATGGTGTGGCAGGGGCATCTGACCTCTAACTTCACAAGGAGGAAGGGGAATGAAGATCACAGCCCAAGACTGATTCCTATGAGGCAGAGGCCAGACATGCCTCCACCCTCCAACCTATTTACCAACTCTGACACCAACTGTCCCTCCCATGGTACTGTACTTCTCTGCTGGGTTTGATAATTCATTGCAGTGGCCACACAGAATTCACAGACGATACTTACGATTATGGGATTTATTAGAGAAGTAACAGGTTACAGTTTAGGCTCAGGAACACTCAGGATACAGTTCTTCAATCAGGACAGCCTCTTCTCAGCCGTGCCCACAGGCACACCTCTCTCTGGCCCCTTGGCCTCTTCCCTGCTCGGGCAAGTGTTAGAAAGCTCTTTTAGCTCTGCTAATAAGTACCTGGAGGCACCCCACTTGGCCAGGAAGCCCCTAGCCAAAGGTGCTCAGCTTTCTCACTCCATGAGTTGTCACCCCCACTGTAATCGCCTTGCTTCATGGGCCAGGAAGCCCACCACACCATCTTCTGCTGGTCTCCTGGTTTGGCTGCCTCTGCTGCCGCCATTTCTCTGCCACTGCTTCTCACCGTCCCTGGCTGTCTCTGGTATTAGAGCTCTCTCTCTCTTTCTCTCTCTGTATCCTGGTTCTAGGAGGTCTCAGCACAGGGATTCTCAGTCCAATGGACACACTCCACTCCTAGCTCTTCTTTCTTGGTGGTAGTAGGTCACCCCCGCTCTGGATTGACTGCTCGTTTAAGCCTAGCAGGATGGCAAAACTGACCAATCCCGTCATTAAGGTCCCATACATCTTATTTGCATAGTCCCATCCCCACTAGGGTGCCATGCACCTTATTTACATTATTAGCAAGCTATCCAATCCCCTTCATGGGCCACAAGTACCTTGTTTGCATAGTCCTTTCCCAGCCATTTGGTGGGAGTTACAAAGATTGTGGCTAGAAGGACCATATTAAGTAAGTCACTGCACCACAGAGCTATTTGTCTGATGACATAAAAGAATCAAATAATTTCTGACCTTAGGCAGAATTTCACAAGGCCAGAAGTGGAGGTGAAGGAACCCAAATAGTTGGAAATGTCAGTATTATTGTTCTTGGGCTTCGCAACCTGGCAGGGGATTAGAAGGCATGCTCCTCCCTTCTGTTTTATCTGTTGTTGCAGACAGTGAGGGCTTGAACTAATGAACTCACTGCCTCTCTGGGAGACCAAGGAGGGAGGGGGAACATATCAGAACAGACGAAAATAAAAACTGTAGGTGAGATGACACACGACCTGGGGAAGGAGCAGGCCCCTTGAGCTAGGGTGACCGAAATGATGGTAAGTACATCAGAGGTGTTTGCACCGAAGTAGAGAAATAGGAAAATGTTCTGAGAGGCCACACTGTTGTTATTACAATTCATATTTACTAATTAATTGTCTTTGGAAGCAAGAAACAATTTGTGCTAATGGCCAAGACACAAAGAGATTGAGAGGGACAGAGTCACATAGAGGCACAAATGCAGTGAGGAAAGGGGCACAGTACACAGCTAGGGTGAAACATGCCCTTCTTCAGGTGCCATCTATTCTGTCCTTGCCAGGTTTTAAATACTTTACTATATGCAAATTGAAATAAAAACATCAAGCATGCCTACTTTTTTCGCTGGAGGGGTTATCATGGATTGAATTGTATCCCCCAAAAGTATCTGTCAACTTGGCTAGGTCATGATTCTCAGTATTGTATGATTGTCTGCCATTTTGTCATCTGATGTGATTTCCCTGTGTGTTGTAAATTCTATCTCTATGATGTAATGAGATGGATTAGTGGCAGTTATATTGATGAGATCTATAAGATTAGATAGTGTCTTAAGCCAATCTCGTTTGAGATATAAAAGAAGCGAGCAGAGAGTCATGGGGACCTCATACCACCAAGAAAGCAGTGCTGGGACCAGAGCGTGTCCTTTGGATCTGATGTTCCTGTGCTGAGATGCTCCCAGACCAAGGGAAGACTGATGCATCACAGAGCTGATAGAGAGAGAAAGCCCTCCCCTGGAGCCAGCGCCCTGAATTTGGGCTTCTAGCCTACTAGACTGTGAGAGAATAAACTTCTCTTTGTTAAAGGCATCCACTTGTGGTATTTCTGTTACAGTGGTGCTAGATGACCAAGACAGGGGTAAAGTATTTTTGACTTGACTTGGTCGGTCAGCTTTTACGCGTTTGCACAAGAATCAGTCTATTCATAGATAACTAAGTTTTGACAGTTTGGTAATAAATCACTGGTCAGGTATTGGTTGTAAAACCAAATGTTGGCATCTTAATTACAGTTAAACTAGATTCCTTGTATACCCTCCCCGCAAAAAAAGTTGCCGTAGAGTCAATTCTAACTCTTAACGACCCTATAGGACAGAGTAGAACTGCCCCACAGGGTTTCCAGGGAGCAGTTGGTGGATTCAAACTGCCAACCTTTTGGTTAGCAGCCGTAGCTCTTAACCGCTGAGCTACCCAGGCTCCAGATTCCTTGTATAGGCAGTCCTATTCCAGCCATGTTGTCATAGTGACAGTCTTCTTTTTTTTCAATGATTTCTAGTGTGTAAAGTGCTTTCATATGCATTATCCAATTTACCCTCACAACAACCTTTTGAAGTTGGTACTTCTTATCCCCATTTTACAGATGAGAAACTGAGGCTTATGAAGGTGACACTCAGCCAAGGGCATATCACTAATAAGGGGAGGACTTGGGATGCCTTTTCTTCTGCTGTCATCTCTCACTCATTCCCTGTAGGGGGCACCATGACCCAGTCCCACCAAGTCTCTCGCTGTGCGTTCGTTAGAGCGAGGTTAAGACAGTTGCCACAAGTTCAGACAGCTCTCAGTGATGTGTCCCAGTCTCCTTTTCCTGTTTTTAAGTCATAGGGAAGGAAAGGAAAAGGAGTAAATTAGTGGAAAAAAAGAGAATGGAAGCGATGAAAACATGATATTGGAGAATGGAAAGGTGGCAATGGCAGTTGGCTGGGTGTCTCCATCTTGAGTTAGAAGCTGGGCAGTAAACCACCTCTTTCACATGGGTCCAGGTGGATGACCCCATGGCTAGAAGCTATATCATGTAAGAACACTGTTGTACCGTTAAGCAAAAAAAGAAGAACTTTATTGAATATCAGTTTTGCTGTATTATGGATCCAGTCTCATTTCCTGATGCATCATATTATTTCTACTTATCATGCCTGCTTTATGTCTTCTTGGACTTCTGAATAAAAGAGGTAATATTTATTGTGGCCAGCATTGTGCTTGACATTTAACATTCATAATCTCATTAGTTATTGATAACAGTTACATAGGAGGGCAGGTTCTGACCTCTTGTTCTCCCCATTTCACAGAAGAGGACACTGAAACAAGGTTAATTTGCCCGAAGTCAAATAGTATCAGAGCAATCCCAGAGCTCACACCAGTAGTTATTGCTATCCAAAATACTAAGGTTTTCCTAAGATGGACACATATATCTATCCTTTAGATGTTGGTTTGTTTTTTAATTTGGTGTTGCGTATTTCCAAGCAAAGTTGGGATTTTTTTTTCCCTTAATGCTCTTAAAGGTGAAGGAATTTGATGCAGATGAAAAACAGGAGTCAGAAATTAATCTGCTAAGGACTTAGCATTGTGTTCCAAGAAGGATATGCTTGCTAAGACATATCCTAAGCCCCCTAAGATTTTATGTTTAGTAGTACTAGGTGCTTTTTTTTTAGTGTTTACTGTCCTACTGCTCTTTTTTAAAATCAGATAAATAGCCGTAATCATTGCTGACATCTCTACTATGGAATCTTGGCTCTAAAACAGTTCAAGCCACATAGTGTGGCAGATAATCACAGTACCTCTGTTTTTTAGTAGAGGTCTGAACTTTATTTCTTTATGTAGTTATTAGCAGATTTTACACAGATTTCAATATACATAGACTTCAACAAGTAATGGACATGAGTTGGGCCATGAAAAAGTATGTCTGATTCAGATATAGAGTTTACTTAAGAAATGTAAGATTTTCTCGGTTACTGGAAATGTTTCTTTGCTTTTTATTGGACTCTCAGAAAACACTACCACTTCCCTCTTGCATATTAGTAAAGCTTACCGTTTTCATTCCGTTCCTCCCACGTCTTCCTGAAGACAACGGCTGTGAGTGTTTACTTTGCATTTTAAAATTTATCTCATTCTTCTAGAGATTTTTTAGAGAGTATGTGACTTCATAATGTTAGAAGCAAGTTTAGGCTCTGAGATAACATGTGTTGTTGTTAGTCAGCAAAACTAAATGTTCTTCCCGTTTTTTCTAGGGCCTCACATTTTGAATAGCTGATATACACTAAAATTCTCTTCTGCATTAATGCTTCTGTAAAAACTTGGTTGACATTCTTACAAATTGCCAAGTTTGTGATTCATTCTCCTTTCGCCCAAACATACGGTTTCACTGAGTCTTCCTCGTCCAAATTCTACTACCCATTTTTCTGACCCTAAAAGACCTAAGACAGTACTTCTGAAAGTGTGGTCCAGGGATCCCTGGAAGTCCCCAGACGCTTTCAGAGGACCCATGAGGTCGGCACTGTTTTCATAACACTAAAACATTATTTGAATTCTTCATTTTCATTCTCCTACGAGTGTACAGTGGAGTTTTCCAAAGCCTATGTGGAGAGTGTGCTTATACATTCTGTGTTTTAAAGTTTTCTCAGTTTTAATTCCTCGTGTGATAAATATGGATAACTATATCCCTGGTGGTGCAGTGGTTAAGAGCTCAGCCACTAACCAGAAGGAGATTGACAGTTCAAATCCACCAGCTCCTCCTTGGAAAGCCTATGTGGCAGTTCTGCTCTGTCCTATAGGGTCGCCATGAGTCGGAATCGACTTGGCCGCAGTGGGTTTTGTTTTTTTATTTTTTGTTTGGTTTTATAGCCCACATAAACAAAGCTCTTTGGAGTTGAGGTACTCAGTAATTTTTGAGAGTGTAAAGGGGTCCCGAGACCAAAAAATTTGAGAATTTTTGCTTTAAAGATGTCTGGTAGGCAAAAAGTATGTTGATTTTAGTGATTTCACAGTATGATTGTTCAATGAATGAGAATTGTGCCCCAGAAGAATATTTTGCTCTAGAAAAAAGTTGATCATTGTTGATCAACTTTTTTCTCGTTTCTGAATATTCTCTGTTAACAGATTATTATGTATCCTGGTGCTTTCCTTAATTAATCTAATATTGTTGATTGTTATTGAATCAGTAGATGAAGGATAAAAAAATTTTGATATTGAAAAAGGCTATCTAAACTTAATTAAGGTCTTCCGCATAAGAGAAAGGATTTTTTTAAACAACTGTAGTATTTATTTCATATGACTTTGGTCTTCCTACTGTCATTTAGAAATACATATTTATTTTAGCTAACAGCATTTGGAAATTACGTAGGTTCCCATGGCTTGCATTGTAGAAGTGCCTCTAAATACTAAAATTGGCTTAGGGAGAAAGAAACAAAAGAAAAACACAGTTTCGTGCCTGGCTCGCACATAAAGTCCAGGCCATAGAAGTGTCAGCGTTGACGGTGAATTTTTTCCGTGTCCACGGGCCTTACTGCACCTTCCTGGGTAAAATGATTTTCATATAAAACATAGCGATATTCATTCATTCATTCAACAAATACTCAGGCTATTATTGCTCTGCTTACTTGAAGGTCTTGGATGGGAGTTGGGACCTGGGTATTTCTGAGGCTTTGAAATCCACAAAAAGAACGGAAGTATAAGTTCTCTATTAAATGCTAAAGACTTAAATTCTCTGAGTTTGGATAATTAAACTGTATTTTAGGTTACATTAGAATATCTTTATAGATTACATAAATCATAACTGAGTGGCACATAGTAAACACTCAGCTAAGAACTTTTGGGTCTGAATACAAAGCATGCATCATCACTTCTCCCCCATCCCCCACTAATCAATAATCAATCAGCACCCTTTGTCACTGAACCGTACAAATGTCAGCACAGGACTTCAGGCAGTCAGTTGCAGTCGATCAGAACTAACACCTAAGATACAAACCTATTTTCTGCCTTGGGAATCTACCATATTATCAGTCTAAGGGCATGTAGGAATTGTAGTAATCTGATTCTACAAGGAGTTTTTTATTTTAAAATATTTCAAAAGAATCAAGTGCAGAAAAGGCAGAGTCATGATATTTATATATGGGTTATTCATCTCTCAAAATTTATCCAAAATATCACCATAAAAAAAAAAACAAGTTTATTAGGAAAATGAAATTGTATTTCTAAATTTTTGTGTGTGTTTATTTGTACAAAAAAGCAAATGGAATGGGCTTTTTTACTTCTAGTCACAAGTGCCCTAGTGTCAGTCCTAGAAAGCCAAGTGATGTCTGGAGATTTCTTGAGGACAAATGATTGAACAAATTCAAAGGGAGACCTGTCCTGACCTTTTGTGGCCTGATTTAAAAATTATGGAGTTCTGGAGTGATGGATGCAAATGCCTGCCCCAAATAAGTTATGATCACCTCTTAATCAATAGATATGCCGTGAGAAGCCAGGTTCAGTAATTGGCAGCCATTAGCTTTTAGAAAATACTTGGCTACCAAAATGCTTGCCTTCTCAGCCTGACAGATATGATTTATATCATTTTTGTTGTTCTATAGAACAAAGTCGCTACGTCATTTTCATGGGATATGCAGTAAAACGAGTTTCTGTAACTGTGCATTCAGCTCTGTTTTCAAAATGTCAGACTTAGCAGTTTTAAAACATGATACTCCAGAACACATGCTATACTCGTTGTGCCCTATCATGTAGATTGTTAAAATTCTTGGCATCGGTCTATATCAACTGTAGTGAGTGTTCCCTTTGATTTTATTTGGGTTGTTGGTAATACTGGCCAAAGACCTGCCACACAGACATAAGACTGATAACGACACATTGTGTAGCACGTGTTCTAACCAGTGCTTCTCAAACTTGAATGTGAGTATGACTCACCAGGGGATCTTGTTAAACTACGGGTTCCAATTCAGTAGGCCTGGGGTGGGGCCAAGGTTCTGCCTCTCTAACAAGCTCTGATGCTGATCTACAGACCACACTTTGAGTAGTGAAGTAGTTGTGCTCCTCATATTTAAATTTCTGAATTTGTTTTGTTTTCACTCTAACAAGGTTACAAAGACTGCAGGTTTGAGACCGATGGAACCAAAAGATACCAGAGCAGTTCGAGAATTAATCAACAGTTACCTGAAGCAGTTTCATCTAGCACCGGTGATGGATGAAGAGGAAGTAGCCCACTGGTTCCTCCCCCAGGAGCACATTGTTGATACGTTTGTAGTGGAGGTAAAGATAAGGTGATAAGATAGTGCAGAGAAGTATGAAAATATGATACGATGAAGTTTATTTTTTAGAAAAATCATATAGTGTCCATTTCTTTCCTCTTCATGACTTATTCCCTTTATACCAGATTTCTGTTCATCCTGATACAGCCAGATTTTCTTCTTAGGGTTTCCATTCCTGGATAAGAGCACATTTTTACTGCTTATTAATGGAAAATCAGGATACTTTTCTGTTGTTCCTTTTGTCATTAATTGCCTTTCTTATTTTTGAAAACGGCCAATTTGAATGACCTCATCAGAGGTAGAGAAATCCCAGTTTTTTATTCCTTTGGTTTTGTGAAACTGGGTGGAACTCAATTGCCTTCAGTTGAGATGGCATAAATCAGCTGCCTTAGCTCAACTCTTGTTCAAGGGATGGAAGGAAAAGAAAGAGTCTAGATTTTCTGAGTATTGGTTAGATGAATTTAGCATAGTGGCTTTTAAGCCTTTTCTTAAAAAGCTTGGAATTTGTAGTTCAAATGACCTCTTACTTGGAAGCTCTTTTGGTTGAAATGGGATGGGTTGAGAAGTTAGGATTTAATCTGGTAAGTACCTGGAGGGCAGAAAAGAGCCAGGGAGACCCCATAGAATCTACTGTAATGGTCCATTCACCATTCAGTTGTAAGCATTGAGATGGAAGTGTATACTCAGCATTTCAAGTGTGGTCTGAATATTGGATTACAAGCTAAATTACGGCAGTAATGGTGGGAGTGGGCAGGGTGGATTCAAAGGACATTTCTGAAGAGCAATTGAGTAGTCTTTGTAAATTGCTATTTCTAAAACAATACTAGAGTGGACATCTTTGTGCACAAATCTTTACGCACATGCCTAAGTCTCCCCAAGGCAGCAGTTCTCAAACTTCTTGATCTCAGGACTCCTTTACTTTCTTAAGAATTATTGAGGACCACAAAGAGCTTTTATTTCTGTGAAGTGTATCTGTAGATATTTACAATATTCAAAATTAAAAATTTATAAAGATTTATTATTTTAGTTAATAACAAACAATATACCTATAATAATCCATTATGTGTCACCTAAATAACATTTTTTATTACTATGGTAAAAATATACATAACAAAACATACGCCATCTCAACAATTTCTACACGTACAATTCAGTGACATTGATTACATTCTTCAAGTTGTGCAACCATTCTCGCTATCCTCTTCCAAATTATTCTACCACCATTAACATAAACTCAATAACCCTTAAGCAAAAACTCCTCCTTTTCCCCCTCCATCTCACCCCTGGTAACCACTAACAATCTTCGGTTTTGTATATTTGCTTATTTCATGTATGTGAGATCATACAGTATTTGCCCTTTTGTGACTGACTGATTTTGTTCAGCATGATTTCAAGGTTCATCCATGTTGTGGCATGCATCAGGACTTCATTTCTCTTTATGGCTGGGTAGTTGTTATAGATTGAATTGTGTCCCCAAAAAATGTGTGTTGTAAATCCTAACCTCTATGCCTGTGATTATAATCCTGTCAGGGAATGGGTTGTCATTGTTACGTTAATGAGGCAGGATTAGTGTAGGATGTATCTTGAGTCGGTCTCTTTTGAAATATAAAAGAGATTAAATGCAAGCTAGCAAAGAGAGATGGGAGAAGAGAGACACCAGACTACATGAAGATCACCAAGGAACCAGGACCTTCCCGCAGAGCTGACAGAGAAAGCCTTCCCCTAGAGCTGGCACCCTGAATTCGGACTTCCAGCCTTCTAAGCTGTGAGAAAATAAACTTCTGTTTGTTAAAGCCACCTACTTGTGGTATTTCTGTTATAGCAGCACTAGATAACTAAGTCAGAATTTGGTACCAAGAAGTGGGGGTGCTGCTCTAACAGATACCTGCAATGTGGAAGTGGTTTTGGAATGGGTAATGGGTAGAGGCTAGAAGAATTTTAAGGTGGCTAACAGTAAAAGCCTGGATTACCCTGAAGAGACTGTGGGTAGAAAAATGGATGTCAAAGGCAATTCTGGTGAAGGCTCAGAAGGAAGTGAGGAGAGCTGTAGAGTAAGTCTCTGTCATCTTAGAGAATACATACGACGCCAGCAACATAATGTTGCTAGAAATGTGGGCGTTAAATGTGCTTCTGGTGAGGCTTTAAAAGAAAACAATGAACATGTGATTGGACAGTGGAGGAATGGCAATGCTTTTAATGCAGTGGCAGAGAACTTGTCTGAATTATGTTCAGATGTTTGGTGGAAGGTAAAACTTGTAAGTGATGAACTTGGAAATTTGGCTGAGGAGATTTCTAAGCAAGATCTTAAAGGGGCTGCGTGGTTACTCCTTGCCAGTTATAGTAAAATGCAAGAGGAAAGAGATGGACTTAAAAATGAACTGTGCAAAATGAAAACAGAACTTAAAGATTTGGAAAATTCTGTTGTACAAACTAAGGACACGTTTCCTAGAGTTTTCACCAAGGATGTGGCTATACAGTCTTTTGTTAAAGAGATTAAATCTGTGACTGATGGATCTAACCAACTACCACAGCAGAAAACCCATCAGATTAGACTGAAGTGGGTGGAGAAAGAATGAAAGGAGAGAATGCTGCCTGCCTCTTGGAATCCTACAGCCAGGAAACAGTCCAAAGGAGCTACATCTGTTGTCCTCCGAGGAAAGACAAGACCATCACTGAGCAGCTTGGAGATCAGCAGAACTGTTGGAAGGAGTGCAGAAAGCAGGGCTGTATCGGTTTCAAAGGGTTGAGTCACAGTTTGCTTAGTTTAAAAGAGTTAGATCTTCACCAACTCAGTTTCGAAGTGTGGGGCTGCAGTTCACAAGTGCCAGGGGAATGGGGCCACTGCCCAAAGCTGAGGGGGCAGAGCTGCCATGCCCAAGGGACAGAAAAACAGGGCCTGCTGGAGCTGAGGGAGTGGGGTCACCACTCAAATGGACTGGGAGAATGGGACCACCCAAAACCAAGAGAGCAGGCTTGCCTTCTCAGTAGGCCTGGAAAGTGGAGCTGATGCCCAGGGCCAAGGGGCCTCCACCCAGAATCCAGAGAGAATGGCCAACACCCAGAGTCTGGAGGGCAGGGCTCTTGCCTAGATGGTCCCAAAGAGCAGAGGATTATTTTCAAGTCTTGAGAGCTAATGTAAATTGTTCTGCCGGGTTTTGGACTTGCTTGGTGCTCGTTATTCCTTCTTTCCCCCCAATTTCTCCCATTTGTAATGGAAATGTCTACCTTGTACCTGTCCTGTGAGGGTAGTTTGGACACAGATAATTTGTAGTCTAGATTTCACAAGTTCACAGATGAAGAGGAATTTTACCCCAGGATGTAATATGCCTAAAGTCTCACCCATATTTGATTTAGACGTTTCAGAAGATGAGATTTTGTACTTGGAGTTGATATAAGACTTTTGGAATGATGTGATGGGGTGAAAGTGTTTTGCATGTGACAAGGGCATAAATTTTGGGGGGCCAGAGGGTGGAATGTTATGGAGTGAATTATGTCCTCA